TTGAATCAAGTGTAGGCCTATGTCTACTTTCCACCATACTTATTACTTTTGCTTTATTTATTTATATTGTCTAAATTCCTTGTCTATGATGTGCAAACAGTTCGAGTGTAAAATGTGTTTTTCTCAATGTATTTACACTCTACAGATTCTTGAGTTTACTCATCTCCTGGTGCTGTCGTTGTAAAAAATGTTAAATTCCTTATTGTTTTGTACCAGTTTTCCAAAATCAGTTCTAACTGCCGTGCCGTTTCTGGAAAGGTGGCGGTACGGCTACACAATGTGTAAGAAGGTGCCAACATGTTCCTTTTTTAACTTTGATCCGGAGCGCATCTGCAGTGCGTTCTACAACTTCCCATGGTCCACTCCATACAGGTTGCAACAAGTTCATCTTGTGGATTTTTACCCAATTACCTGATCCAACAGAAATATTCGTCATGGCCCTGGCATATGCTTCCGCCTCAATATTTCTAATATCTAACACTGGTTCTCTAACACTGGTTCTCCTGTATTGTGAGGTGCTACCTTGTGGTGGATATTGCTGAGTGGGGCAATCTCTGGCCAGATGTCTACAATCTCCACATATGAAGCAGCCATCATCCCTTCTTCCTCTTGATCGTTGCTTTCCTCTCCATTGTCCCTTTTGTTGATGCTGTATGGGAGTGTATACCTGTGCTTGCGGCTGTACTTGCGTAGGAAGATACACAGGTGTTTGCTGTTGAAGATACTGTGGTGCTTGTGGCTGTGCTTGCGTGGGAAGATACACAGGTGTTTGCTGAACCTGGTTTTGTGGACATACACTTCCTCCTCCGCTTTGTTGAACTGTTGGAGGTGTCCGCCCTGCCTTCTCTGCTAGTATGGCCATCTGCTTTGTCGATTTCTTGTTTTTATTAGCTTTGGCATCTTTCTCAGCTACTTGTATCTTCAAAAGTCTTAGTTTTAGTGTTTTAATTTCTTCATCATTTTCCCCCTTTGTTGCCTGGTATTTCATATCGTGGTGAATGAGATGTAGTCTCCATTCTTCAATGGGTTTAGCGACTAATCCCACCACGTCTCCCAGGCCTGCCTGCACTGATCGGGGAAGGGCTTTAATGACAGCGTTCTTCCACAACATTACAACAGCCGGAGAAACGTCATGCCGTTCTCCAGTGTAGTCCTCCCACACATCTCTTCAAAAAGGCATGCATGTCTTCCCCCGGTTCTTTTCTCAGGCTGTTGAGGGCATGTAAACTGCGTGTTGTCGGGTAGATGTGACGAATAGTAGCCCAATAATTCGACCTGATGTAGTTGAATGGAGTGTCATCTGGGTCATTTGTGCAATTGGCCTCGGAATCTATTGCTCTCGCTTCAAGTCTTCCTTCTATCCGTCCAAGCAGGGCTCTCATGTCTCCCAAGCACAGGTGGTCTTGGACAGTGTACTTCTCCAGATCATTCACCCACTTCTGACCTCCTTTCGTGAGTGGAGGTAGCTTTGACACTAATGCTTCCATGTCCCTGTGAGTCCATGATTGGTATTGAAATCCTCCTCTTCCAGCCGCTATCAATGGCATGGAGGTATGTGCACCGGTCTTGGTTCTTTTAGTTGTCTTGGTTCTTCTAGTTTTGGGGCATGTCCCAGGGTAATGTTGCTCGTTTTCATCACTACTATTATTCTCAGGAGGAGATGCAAAACTGCGTTGTTGCTGTGACTGTTCATGGTATGGGGAGTGTCTACTGGTTTCAGACTGTGTACCGCTGTCGTCATCTTCATCTCCCCGTCCATTGGAATAGTCAGGAGAGTAGTTTGTTCGGCGTTTTCTTTGAGTTCTTCATTCTTCTTGTTCTTTCCTTTGTCTATCTGCCATCATGTCCTGGAATCTTACATCGTCTTGTCGCCTCTCCACCAGAAGTAGTTGGTATTTATCTTCCTCCCTTTGTCTTTCTAAAATAATGTCATTATGGGCTTCATCTGCCTTCCGTCTTTCTTCAATAATGTCATTGTGGGCTTCATCTGCCTTTCGTCTCTCTTCCATTCCTCTGATGAGTTCTGCTTCAATTCTTCTGTTGAGCTCCTCTTCCATTCTTCTGTCGAGTTCCTCCATTCTTCTGTCGAGTTCTTCCTGTCTTCTGCCGAGTTCTGCTTCCATTCTTCTGCTGAGTTCTCCTTCCATTCTTCTGCCGAGTTCTTCCATCAGCTGGTTGACACTGGATAGGATTCTTACCTCATACGCCAATTATTTCTCATTTGGGGCTTGAATCGAAGCTTGGTGAGAAGGGTTGTTCTCTGATATGTCTGGAGGAGACACTTCGGTCAGGCTTGGATACTGCTTTGGAGTTTGGATAAGTGGAGCCTCTTTTGTCATTTCTGCTGTGTCTTCATTTACTGGCAGATCTTCTGCGATGGATGTCAGATGGATTAACAGACATGTAACCCTAATTTTTCTTTTTTCAGCTTTTTTCATAGCGCTTTTAGCAGGTCCATACCAAGGGGGTTGTCCGGCTTTGATCCATGCTTGTTGCTGTCGCAAGTATTCTCCATTCTCATAGTCAATTACAGCTTTTCTATGGGCTTTCGTTGGTGCCGGTTGATCATCTGCTGGAATCAATCTTCTCGTTTGCCACTGTTCCAACAGTTTCTCTATTTGGTTCCATGTCTTCTGTCTACGACTTGGAAACGTTAAAGCATCTGATCTGATGTTTAATCTCTCCTTAATATCTGCAGTTGTGCCTGGCACAGCGAGTGCTCTTAACTCTGGCGACATGTTTCTTAAGTACACGGATAATATTATTAAGTTATCAAAATTAATTACTAATCCTCTGAATAGTACCTTTGTATTCTTTATAAAGATATCCTATGTCATCTGAACTTAACTTTAAAATCTGGTAATTTTTTTTTTTTTTTTTTTTACAGAATTTGGAAAAATAAATGTAAATGTTGTCAAACTGAGAATGGAAAATCAAAATTAGACAAATTAAATTAAAATTTGAAATTATGCCCATTCTTTAAATCTGAATAAATAAATTAAAATGAACAGTGTATGGTTTTGACTTTGTAATATGAAAATAGGAATATCGTGCAAATCCAAATAAACCGTGTACAGTGTATACTCAAGTTTATGAAATTATGCAAATGTCACAAAATGTGTCAACCACAATACTTCAATTCAAAGAAACCACATGTAATCTTTATCTGTGTGGTGGGTTATGTCCGCTAGGGGAGCTGTTTTATTTGTAACTCCTCAAATGTATCAACTAGTACTTCCGATTCATAAACCTACTTCCTGTTTATTTCCTCAAAATATAAAGTTCAAATTACTTTCTTTGAAAAGCATGAAAAACAAAACAACTCAATCTACTCTCAACGTTCATCTACACCAGGGGTGGGGAACCTTTTTCCTCTCAAGGGCCATTTCAATGTTTTCAACATCCTTCGAGGGCCGTAAAATTATTGACCTCTGCTTAAAATAACTAAAATCACAGCCCACTCATTTCACCTTTCTTTCATGCTGTGCAAAGAAAAAGCAACCTCTTAATCCAGATATCTTGCCCTGACTCACGCATGCATGCACGTGCACGGTTGTGGCATGACCACCAAAACAGAAAGATATGGACACAATATGTGTGCAAATGTATTTAGACTCCTGTGAACATGATTTAAGTGGGGGGGGGGACCTAACCTCCTCTAGGGGGGTCCGGGGGGCATGCTCCCCCGGGAAGATTTGTTTTTTTTAAATGTTGAAGTTAAAAGCATGAATCTGGTGCACTTTGAGAGCAACATTAGGAGATCTATGGATACATCTCTCAACACCCAGATGAAACAGAACTGTAAGAAGATTTTCTTTTTCTTTATGGGTATTTTACAAATCACTCTCCACAACTTTTTTTTATTGTCATATAGTATTTTATACCCGTTTACTTTATTCTCTTATTTGTTTTATAACTATAATGATCATATAAAGATGTGCCTTTACCTCACTGGTTGTAGAAAAAGCTTCTTATATTCGTTAGCATAGCTAGCTAACCAGATGCTAATAACAACAAAGTTATTGACTGTAAGATCAGTATGACAGATCGCCACTGGGCTTACAACTAAGACACAGCCACGCAAAAACTGCAGCATGTGTACGGCTCCTTATGGGTGGGTACTGCAATTTTTGGAAGTGCCGGAGCGGAGCGGCGTTCTGGTGCTCCCCGTCAGAACTACACCCCTGTCAGACGAGACATATACCACGTGATGATACGTTAGGCTTGTGTTGTGTTCAAGGACCCTGACCTTGGCCAGGAAAAACAGGTACTCACATGTTTAATTATCTTTGCGGTATTTTTTGCGTGTGTTTATAAATTACCTCGAGGGCCACACCAAATGGTCTCGCGGGCCGTATACGGCCCGGGGGCCGGAGGTTCCCCACCCCTGATCTACACCATCCCTGTGTATTTAATCAGTAGTTACCGATTGTATCTTTACTCGAAGTATTTCACCATCTAGTAATGCTAACTGGCTAGCTTAGCAGTATAGCATTAACCGCATGTGACTGGGGGAAGGGGAACAATGGAAACACTCAACATCTGCATAGGAAAAACCACACTGCTTGACAATACAAAACAACCTTCATTTATCTTAGCTCTAAATTCTATAGATGCTGACCTTAAAAGCTGATCTCATACCAATCGTGTACACAATCGTTTCGGCTTAGAACATCACACAAAAATATACTTTTCGGCTTGAAAACTCCACACAATATACGTTATTAAACCAGACTACGCAGGTTTAAAACATCAAACATATAGACTAACATGAATGGACCCAGTCCAGTGTAAACCAGATCAGGTCTGGTACCTACCCAGAGGTATTTAACACAATGTGGACCCAGTCCTATCCCAGATAACATCTAGTGCCTCCCCAGAAGGTCTATGTAATATTCACATTAATCGGGCGGCGCCGAAGATACAACAGAGACGAATAGAAACACTATATACAATCTCCACACCACTCGCAATCACCACGGAATTAAACACTGTCTCACCTTTCGTTTAGGCCCAGCCAAAAACTCATTTTCTGCAGCCTAGTGTGATGCTAGTTAGCTTGCAGCCTTCCCCTCTCTTCCAGCTCTATCCCGCTTCAGAGCCCACCCAGGGTCGCCAAATGTTAGTGTATTCTAGAACCCCGAAGGCAGGAGAGACTGAAAAGAGTCAAGGGAAGCTTATAAAAGTTAACAGCATTTAATTACACAAAAGATGCGGTGGTGTACAAAATTAAATGTGCGATTGGAGGCGCTCTCCTCATCCGACCGGTCAGTCCAGGTCAGCAGGTGGAAGAGGTCAATTCTTGGCTTGCTCTTCCTGTTGTCATCTGAGGTCTTCTCCTATTGGCCGGCGTCGTCGGGGGCGGGTCCAATGCAATTCCTGCCTTTTCCTGTTGTTAAATTATATCATTCTGGTGTCTGTGGTTATTTAAACATTCCCTAATAAACGTTATTCAGCGGTAATCAATGAGTGCTAAACCCAGTGTGCTCAGTGTACAACATCACATGTCATTTCACCTTTAATTCACGGTTTGAAAATGCAGCATTTCGCCACATGCTAATGCTAACCGGAAGTGAATAATTTTCAGAATAAAATTATTAAGTTAATAGTTAGTGAACTTCCGGTTTTTCAGAATAAAACTGATTTAAATTAAATAGTGTATTTCATTCAAATTACGCCACACCAACATTGATTTTAGCAAGTGTTATGGAAATCTAAAAACCCCAATACTGTAGAGTACAAGTCAGAAAACAAATAAATGGTGAAACAGACAGAGTTGTCTTTCCGGTGATGTTTATTCGAATAAACATCAGATACAATAAAATATAGACACAGGTCTCACAGAGTATAGGATAGTCTGCGCGAGTGTGCGCAGTTCAATATTATAGCGAAGCTTATATAGTAGAAATGATGAGAAGGTAAGAAATCTGTCTTCACACGGTCACATTGTTATTAGACACCTGGCCTTGAGCTGTAGAAGTTCTCGTGTGACTTTGTGTGAGTCTCAACCTAGTAGCCAAAACAGCTCTGTGGCCTTGAAGTAGAACAGATAGAGCAAACAGCACATCTAAACCAAATGAGAAGCATTTGGTTTTAACATATCAGGATATTAGGAAATTTCCACTACACAAGTCGGACAAAATGACTAACCATCATGCAACGCACTAGCAAGACGTTGATCGCAACTGCGCAGGTCTGCGCAGGTCTGCGCAGGTCTTGCTTGTCTCAAACAAGCCTAGTATTACGGCTTCCACAGATGAAATTTTTTAATGGATTTTTTGTCAAAGCACTTAAGATATTCATTGCTATCGGGATGTTAAGAGTATTCCATGGAATATAACAAAAAGTGTATCTCGAGCCGGTTTCTGAAACTTACCTACCCCACCAACTCCCTAAGCGTCCAGAAGCGACGTTTGGTCAGTGTCCGTGGTGTCCAGTTGTGACGCTCCTAGGCTCCTTCAGCGTCATAAAGGGACGCAAATAGCTTTCAACTGATTGCAATGTATGCATCTGCGGCGGGATTTGACGCTCATGGAAGCACGGCATTCGTTTGTGTCGGCTGCCCTTAAAGGCAATGTGAGCGTCCATTCCCATTGGATAACGGAGAATTGTACACCCGGAAGTAAGTATTCCTCTTACTGTCGATTGATTTTACAGTGATATCTGCACTACTCATCGACTAAAAAACACCAGATTATCCTTGTTAATTACACAACATTGATTGGTTTAAATTGTGTGCGATGCTTTTGTATTTTTCCCCTTCGATTCGGAGAAACAAATATTTTTTCGGAGTAAAGGATGGCAGAAGACACTACACTACCCAGAATCCCCAGCTATCGTTTGGACTACACCATGTGCTCTGTTTGACAAACCCCGTTTTTTTTCACCATTCTTTCCAATGGCTGGCGTCTATGTCACGTAGTGTTGTCACGACACCAACATTTTGGTTCCGATACCGATACCAAGTCAAGAATTGCGATTCCGATTCTTTTTCGAAAAAAAGGGGAAACAGTCTTAAATGTAATTAATTATTGTGCTTTATTTCACACCAGAACCATAACCATAACACAAACTTTTAAACAATGAGAACAATAAACAAAATAAATGACAATAATTCGTATTAAATAAAATTAAGCATCATCTCAAACAACTTTTTTGTTTTATAAAATATAATTTTTTTTATATTTTATTAACATTTAATAGTACAGTAATATAAATAATTATTGACAAAATGTATATTGCAGATGTTAGCCACATTGGTAAGTTAGCTAAAAAGATAGCCATATTAGACAGTTATCATTGCTTAGCCAAGTTCATGATGTGTTGGCTCCCTTGGTTTGCAGGGATCTAAAACATTTCTCACAGACAGGCCTCGTGGTGTCCGTAGGCTTGCCCTCACTGTCAGAGATATAGCTAAAATAATTCCAAATTTAGCTTATGGCGTCTTTGTTGTCAACAAGCCGAGGCGCAGCGGCAGTTGCACTCCCACTTGCTGCCATGCTTCTCGTTTTCTCACATGCTCTGGCAGCTAGCGCGTGGCCGCGTGCACGAGAGAGGGGAGGGACTTAGAACGTGCTTGAGAGGGGCGGGACTGCAGGGCAGGCACGGCTGCAGTGCAGGGAGTGGAAGCAGAGCGCTGAACACACACGGCTCTTATTAAAACGGCGCTTTCTCACCGGAGTACTTTTCCCCGTCATTCTTAAAGTACCGATACTAATGAAACGGTGGAATCGTACCGTTTTTAACGGCAGGGTATCGCGGTACCTTTCAAGTATCGGTACACCGTGCAACACTAATGTCACGTGATCTTCAAATTTCTCCCTGCAGAAAAAGAAAACATGGCCGAACTTCGTTTTATTCTCTTTGGAAAATGCCTATTTTAAAGTTAGTTTGGCCATTAAAATGCGTTTTGATGTCATTTGATGCGAGAAATATGAGTTGTTATTTCAGATTATGTGTGCAGTGGATGACATGATCTTTAGTTTGCTAGTTATTACGAAGATTACTTCAGGAAATTGCGACGTTTTCATTGTTACCAAGGTGGTTGCTAGGGACGCTGCTATCGATATTATTTCTGTTATGTTGTGTAACTGTTTAATGGTGTTATCTTTATTGCTACCCCCTTCCCGTCAATGTATAGTGTTGGTCCACAGCGCAAACATATTAGTTTAACAAAATCCGCATCTAAAGATAGCCTACGTTATTTCCCCCTGTGCAATTCCAGTCTCACATCTCACAGCACATCGTCAATAACAAATACCGGAAACAGACCGAAAACATTAAAAAAAAATTTAAAAAATAGTTTATTCCGAGTGTCCTTGCTTTTCTCTTTGAAAGTCATGACATAACGGCATTGTAATACACGGTTCGGCTGCATTAAATATTACATATCTGCCGTAGTTCTGTATTTATAGAGCCCTGATGAGAAGACTTCTAGACAAACATGAGGAACTGACAACGTGACGTGGATCATAAATATATCAGCCATTAAACAACATCTTACATTTCTTTTCACACAATACGTCTCCTTGCAGTATCAACACTAATTCGGCTGACTTTTATATTTGCTCCAATTGGTAGATAGGCTGTATTTACACCATAAAGGTGCACAGCTGATATAAAGGGACACGTAGTGGTTAAAGCATGTTATTGAATGTCATTATTTGTATTATTAGATATTAATAGGATCCCTATAAAGTATATTCATTACTCGTTATTCTCTACTAATAGTTAATTAAAGACTGGATATACAACCCAGTCTCATGGCATTTCGTGTTCACTAACACGATTTTTAATCTATTGATTCGTGTTCACCAACACGATTTCCCCCTTTTTTTCGTGTTGCACAGCACGATTTTAAAAGCAATGTATTTCTACTGGTAATGACGCTCATGGAAGCACCGCATTCGTTTGTGTCGGCTGCCCTTTAAGGCAATGTCAGCGTCCATTCTCATTGGATAACGGAGAATTGTACACCCGGAAGTAAGTATTCCCCTTACTGTCGATTGATTTTACAGTGATATCTGCACTACTCATCGACTAAAAAACACCAGATTATCCTTGTTAATTACACAACATTGATTGGTTTAAATTGTGTACAATGCTTTTGTATTTTTCCCCTTCGATTCGGAGAAACAAATACGTTTTTCGGAGTAAAGGATGGCAGAAGACACTACACTACCCAGAATCCCCAGCTATCGTTTGGACTACACCATGTGCTCTGTTTGACAAACCCCGTTTTTTTTCACCATTCATTCCAATGGCTGGCGTCTATGTCACGTGATCTTCAAATTTCTCCCTGCAGAAAAAAAAAACATGGCCGAACTTCGTTTTATTCTCGGTGGAAAATGCCTATTTAAAGTTAGTTTGGCCATTAAAATGCGTTTTGATGTCATTTGATGCGAGAAATATGAGTTGTTATTTCAGATTATGTGTGCAGTGGATGTACATGATCTTTAGTTTGCTAGTTATTAAGAAGATTACTTCAGGAAATTGCGTCCATAAAACGTTTTCATTGTCACCAAGGTGGTTGCTAGGGACGCTGCTATCGATATTATTTATGTTATGTTGTGTAACTGTTTAATGGTGTTATCTTTATGGCTACCCCCTTCCCCGTCAATGTATAGTGTTGGTCCACAGCGCAAACATATTAGTTTCACAAAATCCGCATCTAAAGATAGCCTACGTTATTTCCCCCTGTGCAATTCCAGTCTCACAGCACATCGTCATTAACAAATACCGGAAACAGACCGAAAACATAAAAAAAATAATAATAATACTTTATTCCGAGTGTCCTTGCTTTTCTCTTTGAAAGTCATCACATAACGGCATTGTAATACACGGTTCGGCATCATTAAATGTTACATATCTGCCGTAGTTCTGTATTTATAGAGCCCTGATGAGAAGACTTCTAGACAAACATGAGGAACTGAAAACGTGACGTGGATCATAAATATATCAGCCATTAAACAACATCTTACATTTCTTTTCACACAATACGTCTCCTTGCAGTATCAACACTAATTCGGCTGACTTTTATATTTGATCCAATTGGTAGATAGGCTGTATTTACACCATAAAGGTGCACAGCTGATATAAAGGGAAACCTAGTGGTTAAAGCATGTTATTGAATTTCATTATTTTTATTATTAGATATT